AGTGAGCTGAGATCCGGCCACTGCACTCCAGCCTGGGTGACAGAGCGAGACTCCGTCTCAAAAAAAAAAAAGGATGTATATATGTCCCACTTGGGACAAATTATTTCCTTTCGCATATTAAAATGTATAGAACAGATTCTCTGTTCAGTTTTCAGAATTCATTATAGTTGAAATCACTACCTTTTAAAAATTATGTTGGAAACATATAAAACCGTAATATATCAAATATGAAAACAAAGACAATTATGTACACTTTATAAAATAAATAGAAATGCATAAGCTACAACACAATTAAGGGATATTCTGGAATCCTTTCTCATAGGAATCATTTATGATAATTTCCGTAAGAAGCATGTCAGTTAAGGGAGCTTTTCAAAAATACTGGTTATGTTCTATGTCTTAATCTACTGTGGTAGATGGAGAGAGCTGTATGTGTAAAATGTATGCCTTTATGTGATTAAGTTTTTCAGAAATAAGTAAAAATATTGAATACCTTTAGAATACGTTATCCCTTTAATCAAATTTGGAAAAGTTTAAACATTTTCAAGTTTTAAATATTTGGTGAAATGCTCTTGGTCTAATGAATAGTGCAGAAAGTAGCAATTCCTGGAAAAAATTCACAGGAAACAATACTAGAACTGTTTAAAATAAATAAAATACCCAGAGTGGGAGTTACAACTATTCTATTCAGGATTTAGCAGAAAACTTTTGACGTGGGTAGAAATAAAATTAAGTTTTTATTTAAGTTACTTTTATTAAAACTTAACTTTTATTAAGTTTTATTTAAGTTACTGTAAAATCATATTCCAAAGTTTATATATGAAAAAAACTTAATGTATATTATATATACCTGTTAGTTAAAATAATACATCTGTAGTAAAAATATGCTACTTTTTATACTCAATTTGTTAGCAAATATGATACAAATTCAATCTAAAAAATACTAAAAATGTACCATATCCAAAGAGATTATTAAGATTAGCTAACACGAAGGATGTCAGGTTTTAATTACCTTAATAATTCTTCCCTTTTTTTTTTTTAATAGATGGGGTCTCACTCTGTTGCCAAGGGTAGAGTGCAGTGGTGTAATCATAGCTCACTGCAACCTCGAATTCTTGGGCTCAAGCAATCCTCCTGCCTCAGCCTCTCAAGCAGCTGCGAAAACAGGTGTGTGCCACCATGCCTGGCTAAGTTTTCTATTTTTTGTAAAGACGGGGGTCTCACCTTGTTGCCCAGGCTGATCTCAAACTCCTGGCCTCACTCAATCCTCCTGCCTTGGCCTCCCAAAGTACTGGGATCACAGACATGAGCCACCAAACATGGCCAATAATTTTTAATTATTATACATTGTGTGCAATGATCTACATATGCGTGTGTTTTGGTTTACAAACAGACTTTAAGAGTAATTTAGTTCAAAAATAAAAAAATAAAAAAAATTTTAAAAAAAGAGTAATTTAGTTCAGTTAAAAAAATAAAAATCTGACAAACACTGTACAAGAAAGGCAATACCTGAATAACCCATTGTCGATGCTGCCAGGCATGATAATTCTTTGCATCCTGATTAAGAATATCAGCAATAAATTCAAGCTCCTGAGATGGATCTCTTAGCCATTCCACTAATACTCGCCTATGATGCCTAAAGCCCAGAGAAGAAGGGAGAGAAGTTTTGTGTTAATTTACCCAAGAACTAAAACATCAGCAGCACATGTTGTAAAGCTGATATGCAACAAACAAAAATTCACCTCTAATTCTCAACACTCTACTGGAGAGAAAAGGAACACACACAAAAAAAAAAAAAGAAAAAAAATCAGATAGTTTATCTCAAACTACATCTGGTAGTATCTTTCGACAACCATGAAATTGTGCCAAAAAATTCAGAAACATTACTAGATTGTATAATGAGAGACAAGATAAAATGTGCTATTATTTTATTAAATATGTAAGTTTCTCTACTTAACAAACACCTATCAATTTTCCCTAAGTGCAAAGTGTCACCAAACAAGCAGTTTCTCAGTCTACAAATTAGTGGGCAGAACTGAATTCACTGCTACACCGGCAAGTAGCTATGACAAGTTGCAAGCTGTCAACAGAGGAGTTTCTGTACTAGGAAAACACTTAAGGCTTATTTTATATTGGGTTCCATTTTTTTCTTTGGCTGAAATATTTATAGAACTCTATTAGTGAAAATGTTCTAAACTTCACTATGGTAATGATTGTACAGATCTGTATATATACTAAAAAACACTGAATTATATACTTTGAATGAGGGAATTATATGGTTAGTGAACTCTCTCTCAAAATGGATCTTTAAAAAATCTATTAGAGTATAACATTCATTCAACAAAAAGTGAGCAGAATAATAGGAAAAAAGGAAGGATTTAATGCTTAATGACTATTCTACATGCCTGGAAAATTTAAAAATTTGTCTTACAGATTAACACAAGATACTACCAAAAACAAAAGCCTAGACAGAAGGTTTCCAAATTTATTTTAGAAATCCTCCAAGTCAATGAACACTACCTGCATTTTATTTTTCCAGGTTGCTGGTGAGTTCAGTAATTTAGAAAGCTAAGAATGAGATCCTCCAGGATATCAAACTGAGGAAGAAAAAGTCCACGCTGATGTTCTCCGATTTAAGGAATTACAGGGCTTTATGTTAAAGCATAAGTTTTCATAGTTAGAAGTTAATAAAAGTGATTAGTTAACTGGGATACATAATTTGCATTACCTGTATTATAATGGTTATAAAACGAACAGAATGGACAACTAGAAATGTACAACAATTTAAAAACTGCTGGGCTTACTGTAGCAGCTACTTTGAGTGGTTTTGTTTTACATAACAGTGGGTGATGAAGTGCTAATGACACTGTCTGCAGTATCCAGAAAAGAAAAACAATTTCTCTTTAGCAAAAACACGATGTAATCAAATACTAATGCCTGTGATGTCAGAATTTTATAGCTACAGATTTTTACATAAAAGCACCTTAATTCCACAGGGTAAATAACTTTAGTGAGGGTATGACACTCTCCATTTAATCTCTTTTCTCATTAAACCAATTATTTTATAATGTAATTTCTTAGAAATACAACAATCTTGTAATCAAGAGGCTACAATGGTAAAGTTTTTAGTTTTTTAATTTTTTATTTATTTATTTTTTTTCAGACAGAGTCTCACTCAGTCACCCAGGCTGGAGTGCAGTGGTGTGATCTCAGCTCACTGCAACCTCCACCTCCCGGGTTAAAGTGATTCTCCTGACTCAGCCTCCTGAGTAGCAGGGATTACAGGCGTGCCACCACACCTGGTTAAATTTTTGTATTTTTAGTAGAGACAGGGATTCACCAATGTTGGCCAGGCTGGTCTTGAACTCCTGAACTAAAGTGATTCGCTCGCCTCAGCCTCCCAAACTGCTGGGATTACAGGCATGAGCCACTGCACCTGGCTAGAGTGGTAGTTTTTAAATAAAATTCTAGGCCAGGCAGGATGGCTCACACCTGTAATTCCAGCACTTTGGGAGGCTGAGGCTGGCAGATCACCTGAGGTCAGAAGTTCGAGACCAGCCTGGCCAACATGGCAAAACCCCATCTCTACTAAAAATACAAAATTAGCCAGGTGTGGTGGCATGTGCCTGTAATCCCAGCTACCCAGGAGGCTGAAGCTGGAGAATCACTTGAACCTGGGAGGCAGAGGCTGCAGTGAGCCAAGATTACGCCACTGTATTCCAGCCTGGGAGACACGGCAAGACTCCAAACTTACCAAACTTGATAGTTTTTGGGCTGCTCCTCAATTATTGCAGTGATGTAGTTCATTTCCTCATGTAGATCCTTCTGAAGTGACTTTAAGAGAACTCTCCGGAAATGCCTAGGGCAAACATAAAACATCCAAAGTCGCATTATTCCACAGAAGTTGCCTAATAACAATGTCAAATACAACTACAAGTCAGCAATAGAGTTAGATAAATTTTTGTCAGGTAATCTGTATAATTTAACAATTATATAGGCCAGGCATAGTGGCTCATGCCTGTAATCCCAGCACTTTGGGAGGCCAAGGTGTGCGGATCACATGAGGTCGAGTTCAAGACCATCCTTGCCAATGTGGTGAAACCTCGTCTCTACTAAAAATACAAAAAAAAATTAGCTGGGCATGGTGGTGCACGCCTGTAGTCCCAGTTGCTCGGTGAGGCTGAAGCAGAATTGCCTGAACCCAGGAGGCAGAGGTTGCAGTGAGCCAAGATCACGCCACTGCACTCTAGCCTGGGCGACAGAGGGAGATTCCACCCCAAAAAAAAGAAAAAAAAAAAAATTTAACAATTTAACTGCTTGTGAGTGTCCAAATTCATACGACTATCTGGTCACTGGAAGAAATCAAGCCCTTTTAGTAAAAACAGTGAAAGGTGGCCGGGCGCGGTGGCTCATGCCTGTAACCCCAGCACTTTGAGAGGCAGATTACCTGCGGTCAGGAGTTTGAGACCAGCCTAACCGACATGGAGAAACCCTGTCTCTACTAAAAATACAAAATTAGCTGGCAAGGTGGTGCATGCCTGTAATCCCAGCTACCTGGGAGGCTGAGGCAGGAGAATCACTTGAACCCAGAAGGCAGAGGCTGCGGTAAGCCGAGATCATGCCATTGCACTCCAGACCAGGCAACAAGAGTGAAACTCCGTCTCAAAAAGAAAAAAATAGTGAAAGGTAACAAGTATGAGATAGAAGAAAAGTAAATTTCTTATTCTTAAGTAATGACAGACAACCAACTAAAATTATATTCAGGTACTACTCTGGTCACCAGTGTTCTATAACATGAGAATCAAAGACATTTCTTTCCCTATACAGTATACCTTGTTCGTGTAGATACATTATACATATAAGAAATTAATTCTATTATACACATTAACAAAATATTTACTTTTAGAACCACCACAAAAATGCTACTTGTAAATGAAACAAGTTTGTCTTTAAATTCCCCATAGGTGGGGTTTAACCACCACCACCACCACCACACAATTTTCCTAAAGACGTCGTTAGTTCTGGTCTAGTTTTACTTCAAAATTTTTAACTCAATATATAGTAAGGGACATTCCAGGACCTAATTTTATTAGCTTTTAAAATGAACTGCTCACTTTGGGAGGCCGAGGCAGCAGATCACTCAAGGTCAGGAGTTTGAGACCAGCCTGGCTACCATGGCAAAACCCCATCTCTACTAAAAATACAAAAATTAGCCTGTAATCCCAGCACTTTGGGAAGCCGAGGTGGGCAGATCACGAGGTCAGGAGATTGAGACCATCCTGGCTAACATGGTAAAACCCCATCTCTACTAAAAACACGAAAACATTAGCTGGGCTTGGTGGCATGCACCTGTAGTCCCAGCTACTCGGGAGACTGAGGCAGGAGACTCGCTTGAACCCAGGAGTCAGAGGTTGTAGTGAGCAATGATTACACCACTGCACTACAGCCTGGGTGACAGAGCGAGACTCCGTCTCAAAAAACAAACAAATGAACAAACAAAAATACAAAAATTAGCTGGGTGTGGTGTCAGACACCTGTAATTCCAGCTATTTGCGACACTGCGGCACAAGAATCGCTTGAACCCGGGAGGCAGAGGTTGCAGTGAGCCAAGATCATGTCACTGTACTCCAATGGGTAACAGCATGAGACTCCATCTCAAAAAAATTAATAGAAATAAAATAAAATAAAACGCTAAACAGGAGAGAGTATTTCTCCCCATTATTATTCAAAAAAAAAAAAAAAAAAACAAACAGTAGACTTCCCAAAGCATGTAAATATAAGCCCTTGGCTTTTATCGGTAATTGATTCCAGGTATACTGCTTCTTTCAAAACAGCAATAAACTCGCAGGAAATCTTTAAGTGTAATCTAAGTTCCAAAAATGATGAAACACACTGAGAATTCCAGTTAAACAGGGTAGATTAAGTAAACAAGTTTATTCTCACTCCCTAATAAAACCCCAGTAAAATGACAACAAAGGAATAAACCCACAAGAACAAAGAGAATCAGGGACAAAGACACCACAGCAACTGGAAGAGGTCAACGACACTATGGGAAGTGTAAGCAGATAGACAAGATTTAACTGACTAAAAAATAGAATAAGACTTTAAAAAAATTCCAGAAGTCAGAGGTATGACATATTTCTAAAACTGGGGGTCAAAGGTGGGACTAAAAGCAGTGGAAAGTCTATAGAAAGAGTCCTTGGTGGCCAAGACCGTTCCCACTACCCTGAGCAGAAGTGACATCCTGTCTTGGGCAGGAGACAAGTGGCTTTATTCTCTGGAAAAATCTGAAGCAGAATGGGTTACAAGGCACATTGGAAGGCAGGGTGAGTTAAAGGGTGGAAATAAGGACATTTAAAATGTTGATATACAAAGTTAGAAAAAAAAAAGTTTCTATTTCAAATTGCAACAGGATAAGATTTGCAAAAAAGCAAAAAGTTGATATCCTAAACAGTGAGACTCTCCTATCATTTCCCCTGCCTAACCCCTCAGAACTATGGCAGTCAAATGTACATTACTGAGGCAATAAACCACTTAATACTCTTTGAGAGACACACTGTCCAAGAGAAAAGACTTAAATACTGACAAGTGAGATTTCACTACAACACAGCCACATCCCCCACTCAGTAACTTCACAGTGAAGCCCTCCAACTGATAAATCCTGCCACATACAAGGCTTCCAATCAGGATTTTTCCTGTCTCTCTCATACGCAAAAAGAGAAAATCAAAAATTACCAACCATTGAGAAAAATATTTATGTGAAAGAGAACAAAAGAGATGAAAAGATCTCACGTCCATGAAATTAAAAAAACAAAACACACACACACGATGCTATTTAAAAAAAATATTCAGAGAACAAAAAAACAGCTCCCCCAAATTAAAACTGTATGCAGAATCTTTAAAAACCCATACAAGTTAGAAAATAAAATTGATGAAATATCTCAAAAGTAAATAAAAACATAAACAAATGAAAATAAGAAAAATCCAGGAGAAGGCCGGGCGTGGTGGCTCACGCCTGTAATTCCAGCACTTTGGGAGGCTGAGGTGGGCAGATCATGAGGTCGGGAGATCGAGACCATCCTGGCTAACACAGGGAAACTCCGTCTCTACTAAAAATACAAAAACAAAATTAGCTGGGGGTGGTGGCAGGTGCCTGTAGTTCCAGCTACTCGGAAGGCTGAGACAGGAGAATGGCATGAACCCAGGAAGCAGAGCTTGCAGTGAGCCAAGATTGCGCCACTGCACTCCAGCCTGGGCGACAGATTGAAACTCCATCTCAAAAAAAAAAAAAAAAAAAAAATCCAGGAGATACAACATAGAACTAAAAGGCATTTCAGAAAAAGAAAACAGAGGAAAGAGAAGAAATTATCAGAAGAACACAGAAGAATCCCCAGAACATAAAGAGAAAAAGAAAAGTTTTAAACAAAGGAATGGAAATCTTCTCAAGCTGAAAAGAAGCTAAGAGAAACAGAAAAAGAGTTTTAAAATACTGAGTGAAAATAATGTCCAATCTAGAATTTTATTACTAAAGTTGAAGGGAGACTAATGATTTTTAATTGTATAAATCTCAAAAATTATTTTCCATCCTTCTATTCAATGATATGCTCTATAAAATGAGAAAGTGAATCAAGAAAGAGAAAGGTATGGGATCTAGGACACAGGGGATCTAACACACAAATGAGCTGAAGACCAGCTATGTAGCATCCAACTGGTGAAGAGAAAAATGGAACTGAAGGATGACCTGTGTTCAATAGAAAAATGACACTTCACATATATCAGAGCATCTGGAAGACAAATTACTTACTGGTACAAAGAAAACAAAAATGACAGAGGGAATGTAATTACACTATTAAATGTGGGTCAGCAGCCGGGCACAGTGGCTTATGCCTGTAATCCCAACACTTTGGGAGGATGAGGCGGGTGGGATCACCTGAGGTCTGAAGGTCGAGACCAGCCTGAGTAACATGGTGAAACCCCATCTCTACTAAAAATACAAAATCAGACGGGTGTGGGGGCGCATGGCTGTAATCCCAGATACCTGGGAGGCTGAGGCAGGAGAACTGATTGAACCTGAAGGCAGAGGTTGCAGTGAGCCGAGATCACACCATTGCACTTCAACCTGGACAAAAAGAGTGAAACTCCGTCTCAAAAAAAAAAAAAAAAAATAGTGTGTCAGCATGGACATAAACTGAGTGCTCATTTGTGATGTAGGGAGGGTAGTGGAGAACGAACCATCTTTCACAGAAGGAATAATGTTTTAAAGGAAAAACATAAGCCGGGCACAGCAGTTCATATCTGTAATCCCAGCACTTTGGAAGGCTCAGGTGGGCGGATCACAAGGTCAGGACATGGAGGCCAGCCTGACCAACATGGTGAAATCCCGTTTCTACTAAAAATACAAAAATTAGCCGGGCATGGTGGTGTGTGCCTGTAATCCCAGCTACTGGAGAGGCTGAGGCAGGAGAATCGGTTGAACCCTTGAGGCACAAGTTGCAGTGAGCCGAGATCACGCCATCGCACTGCAGCCTGGGTGACAAATCAAGACTCCATCTCAAAAATAAAAATAAAAAATAAGATAAACTAAAATAAAATAAAATAAAATGAAATGAAAAAAATAAAACCAATTAAGCAAATTATCTAGAATATGGAGGTTAATTCAAGAAAAAAATCCCTAAGAGTTACCATCTCTGCAGAGTGGGACTGGCAGTGGGAGGGAATGGACTGGAGATCGCTACTTTTCACGCAGCTTAACTTTTAAACCCACACGCGAATTGCTATTTTGATAGAAATTAAAGGCCAGGCGCAGTGGCTCACACCTGTAATCCAAACACTTTAGGAGGCTGCAGGGAGTGGATTACCTGAGGTCAGGATTTCAAGACCAGCTTGGCCAACATGGTGAAACCGTGTCTCTACTAAAAATACAAAAAAAATTAGCCAGGCGTGGTGGTGGGCGCCTGTAATCCCAGTTACTCAGAAGGCTGAGGCAGGAAACTCACTGGAACCCAGGAGGCAGAGGATGCAGTGGGCCAAGACTGCACCAATTGTACTCCAGCCTGGGCAACAAAAGTGAAACTCCCTCCCCCCTTCAAAAAAAAATAAAGTACAGTTTAAAAAAATTAAAGTACAGTTTAAAAAAAGAAAAGTGCAGTTTAAAAAAAGAAAAGCCACTTGAAGTAAAACATTTAAGCAGGGAATACTGATGATGTGTATTACTTACCACACTGTATAATTGGCTGCATTTAACTCAATAGCATCCCGGGTTAGCTTAAAAGCTCGTTCACTTCTTTCATCACGCTGCAGGACAGCTCGGAAGTAATCATAAACATCTCTAACTAGAGATAGAGCACACAACTACATTAGGATCATCTTACTTAAAGTTAGCACTATAATGTATAATGTCACTATACCTATAAAGATATTTTATTTGCCTGTGTATCATTTATACCAAGAAGCAAAATAAAGAGTCAAGTGGCTGTGGCCCCACCCTGATAATGCCCTAGTGTCACAGCCACAAAAAGCATGGGCTATTTATGTATAACCGTATGCTTACTGCTTACGTGTGCGCATATGAGTTAATGCCAGATTCCAAATCTCCCATAGACCTTATGTATAAAAGGAAAATTAGGGGTGCATATATTCAAATATATTCATATACCTGTTTTTCTGACATTTTATTCTGATCAGAATTTTAACTGAAAAATATGCCCACCCAAAGGCAGAAAACTCAAACAGTACAAAAAGGTTCACGCTAGATTTCCATTCCACTAAATTCCCAATCCTCCTCCCTAGAAGCAACCATTATTAACTCATTCTAGTGTATCCTTCCAAATATATTCTATGCATCTACAAGTATATAGCCTAATTCCATCCTTCATTTTTTATGCAAACGAGATCCCATCACATTCTGGGTTTTCCATTTTTCACTCATACATTATTAAAGATAATGTAAACTAGTATAAAAACTTCTACAACAAATAATTAAAATTTACATCCTCTTTGACCCAGTAATTCCAGCTCTAGAAAGTTCTCTCACAAATATACTCCCATATGTGTGCAAGTATCCAAGGATATTTATTGGGAGCACTGGGTTACATAAAAAACAAAAGACTGAGAGGCAGGCAGATCACTTGAACCTAGCAGTTTGAAATCAGCCTGGGCAACATAGTGAAACCCTGCCTCTACAAAAAAGTATAGAAATTAATCAGGTGTGGTGATCCAGGCCTGCAGTCACAGCTACTCGGGAGGCGGAGGTAGGAGGATCGCTTGAGCCTGGGGGGTCAAGGCTGCAGTGAGCCATGATCGCAAGCAACCAGCCTGGGTGACAGTGCAACACTGTCTCAAAAAAAAAAAAAATAAGGAACTGCCAGGTATGGTGGTCTGCACCTGTAATCTCAGCTACTCGAGAGGCTGAGGCAGGAGGACTGCTTGAGCCCAAGAGTTTGAGACCAGGCTGAGTAACATAGTGAGAGCCTGTCTCTGAAAAGAAAAAAACAGGAAGGGGTCATTTATAGCCAAGTAGAATATTAGATGTGGGTAATGTGAGGACCCACTACTTGCAATGGCATCTCAAGTGGGATGGATGTTGCAGCACTGATCCCTAGGCCTATGGGGTCTGTCTGGGTAATGTCAGAACTGAATTAAATTGTAGGGCAACTAGTTGGTGTCTACAGAAAATTGCTTCGTGTGAAAATTCCAAACATTTGGTGTCAAAGTATTTTGACTACAGAGAAACAGTTTTTCCTTTTAGCCTATAATACTGAAAGTGAAAATACTGGATAAGAATATGAGCAATTACTCCTCTTCACAAAATTCTGAGTTATGCAAAGGTTACCTGGTTCTAATCACTATATTTAAAAAGTTGAATTTGAGTAGTGGCTCAGGCCTGTAATCTCAGCACCCTGGGAGGCCAAGGTGGGTGCATCACTTGAGGTCAGAAGCTCGAGACCAGCCTGACCAACATGGTGAAACCCCATCTCTACTAAAAATACAAAAATTAGCCAGGCGTGGTCGCACATGCCTGTAATCCCAGCTACTCGGGAGGCTGAAACATGAGAATCAATTGAAACTGGGAGATAGAGGTTGCAGTGAGGCGAGATCACATCATTGTACTCCAGCCTGGGCAACAAGAGCGAAACTCTGTCTCAAAAAACAAAAAGAACCAAGTTTCCAAATAATTTAAATTTAAAACAAAATGATAACATGTTAACTAGTATATCATGTATATATATAAAATACATTATTTTACACGCACGCACACACACACAAAACATACACACATACATATGCACACTGATAAAATAAACTGGGAGGCTATCAGGCTGGGATAGCTCCAAAGCCTCAGGTTCCTAGGTAAACAACCAAAATCCAATTCAATGTAAAAGGTAAAATGAAACAACATTATTCTTTTAATTCAAAAATTATAAACAACAGACCAGGTGCGATGGCTCACGCCTGTAATCCCAGCATTCTGGGAGGCCGAGGTGGGCGGATCACCTGAGGTCGGGAGTTCAAGACCAGCCTAACCAACATGGATAAACCCCGTTTCTGCTAAAAATGCAAAACTAGCCAGGCGTGGTGTAGCTACTCAGGAGGCTGAGGCAGGAGAATCACTTGAACACGGGAGGCGGAGGTTGCAGTGAGCCAAGATTGCGCCATTGCACTCTAGCCTGGGCAACGAGAGTGAAACTCTATCTCAACAACAACAAAAATATAAACAACATATTGTCATGCTTAAAGTTTCTAAAACTTTGACTTTTTTATTGTTTCTGAGATCTGTTCATGTTATAATAGATCTAAATCCTCTTAATGGTTATATAGTATTCAACTGTATGACAATGATACATTTTATCCATTTCTCCAAAAGATGGGCATAGCTTCCAATATCTTGCTTTTTAAAAAAAATGCTGCAAATTATAGTAGCTAACATATATAGTGCTTACTATGAACCAGAAAGTATTCTATTATTTTATGTGAATAATTTACTACACCTACAGTTACTATCAAGATCCTCATTTTACACAGGTGGAAACAAAGGCACATAGGCGTTAAATAACTTGTCCAAGATTACACAGTCAGTAAAATGTGAAGTTAGAATGTGAACCAGATGGTCTGGCTCCAAAGTCTGGGCTTTGCATTTTTCACTCATACATTATTAAAGGTAGGGTAAACCAGTATAAAAACTTCTACAACAAATCATTAAAATTTACATCCTCTTTGACCCAGTAATTCCAGCTCTAGAAAGTTCTCTCACAAATATACTCCCAAATGTTTAACCTCCTGTGCATATCTTCTCATGCCATGTGCCAGAATGAACCCAGAATATTAAATTAGAAGCAACACTGCTAGGTTGTAAGGTAAGTGCATTTTCCAGTTTTAACAGATATACCAAACTGCTTTCCAAAACGGCTAAACATATGAAAACTCCCATATGAAATACATGGAGCTCTTCATATATCTTCATACCTAATATCATAAGAGTTTTCATTTCTGCCACTTAAATCATGGATAGAAAATGGAATTCTCATTTTAACGTGTCATTCCTAATGATAAGGGATTCTTCCTCCTATTTTATTGGCCAATGGCATTTTCTTTTCTGTGAATTGCCAGTTCATACCCTTTGTCCATTTTTTCATTACACTGTCTCCTTATCCTGTTGTAGAAACCTCTTAGTTTTAATATGGATACTGTTTAAGTGACGTATCTTCTTCCACACTGCTGCTTGCTTTTTAACTTGCTTGTGGTTTCTTCTGCTGTGTAAGTTTTAAATTGATATATCTGTCTATAAATGGTTGACAGGTTAAAACTTATCTTTTCCTTCAGGGTTTCTAACCATGGTGTATGTAAGAATTCACTATGTTATATATATATACATAAATACATATTTTTTTGAGAGAGAGTTTTGCTCGTTGCCCAGACTAGGGTGCAATGGCACCATCTTGGCTCATTGCAACCTCCACCTCTCGGGTTCAAGCGATTCTCCTGCCTCAGCCTCCCAAGTAGCTGGGGTACGGGTAGCTGCCACCACGCTCAGCTAATTTTTGTATTTTTAGTAGAGACAGGGTTTCACCATGTTGGCCAGGCTAGTCTCGAACTCCTGACCTTAGGTGATCTGCCTGCCTCGGCCTCCCAAAGTGCTGGGATTACAGGCGTGAGCCAACGAGCCTGGCCCAAAATGTTAATTTTATGCCTTGCAAAAAAGGTTATTAATTTATCCTCAATGGAAACATATGATTATATTAGTTTTCCCCAACATCTCTGTTATAAGTACTTATGAATCTGAAAAAGTTATGGTTTATATTTCTCCAATCACTAGTAAGGTTAATATCTCTTCATAGATATTTCTATTTCGTGAATTGTCTCTTCACATGTAATATCTCTCAACATATGAGAGTTTTGCATTTTCGTGCAGTTATATATTCTGACCTTTTCCTTAATCAATTCTGAGGTTTACAAAATGCCTAATAATACCTTCTTCGTCGTAAGAATGATAGGGATACAATTCTGCTTTTATCTAAGTGCACAGCCAACTGTTCCAACCATTATTTGATTAATCCACCCTTTTCATAAAGGTATAAAATGTCCTTTTTATCACATATTAAGCTTTCATAGAGTGAGGATCTATTTCTAGAGTCCTTACTTACCTATTTCTGTGCTACTTCCACTGAAGTTTAGTAATATATCTGCATACTTAATAAGGCAAACCTCTGCATCATTATTCTTTTTTAAACATTGTCATTTTATTATCAGAAAAAAACGCTTTTGTAAAAGAATGATCTTAGTAAAGACTTAACTGAAAGAAATATGTATACATAAAATTACAAAACTATCATTCCATTTTATTCATTTTCCCTTTCCTAGAAGAACAATTAACATTTCCATGACCTTCAATTTACATTTTCACATTATAAAAGAATATTTTGTCAAAGAAAAAAACTACTCATTTTAATATCAATAAATGTATTCCAACTGAGCCGAACACTTCACTGCCAAAATATATTTTTAAATGCTGATGTTTCAGCAACCAAAGTTTATTCTAAAAACAGTAACTCATTTACATTGTGTGCTACATGCACAATCTCCCAGGCGGTGGAGTCTCCAGCAAAAAAAAGAAAACCACAATCACATAGTAGCTATTACCTATTATACTGTAACGTTTATTATTTAGAATATGTCCAGTCTTTGGGCAAAATAAAACTTTTAATCATAAAGATAAATCATACATAAAAAAACACACAAAATTAACTCATCTTAAGTCATTCAGATTTTTATTAGACAGAAATTTGTCATCTACCTTGCTACATAGTTGTGAATTCCAATTCTGCTACTAAGTTTAACTTACAGACCTTTTCCTAATATAAACAAACTTACATTTGTCACTATAAATGATCTGGACCACGGGACTGGGGCCATCATTCTGCGGCACTGGATCTATATCAGCCCATTCTGCTCTGTCCCTGAAAACAGACATTTCCCAACCAGTGGTTACATTCAAATACAGAAGAAAAAGAACTCTAGTGTTTTTAAAACTTACATTGACATTAGTAACTTACAGGGCTCATAATGCAATCATGGTTGGATTCTTCATGACAAAGTTTTGCCAATATGCTTTACATATTAAACTATTAAAGTAAAATTAAAACAAATAACCCTCAGATGAACAGTTAATCAACAGTTTTCAAATTTAAAGTTTTATAAGTTTTTGCAGCGAGTACACAGTTTTCTGATTTTTTTTTTTTTTTTTTTTGAGGAGTCTGGCTCTGTCACCCAGGCTGGAGTGCAGTGGTGTGATCTCGGCTCGCTGCAACCTCCGCCTCCAGGGTTCAACAGATTCTTCTGTCTCAGCCTCCCCAGTAGCCGGGACTACAGGCGTGCGCCACCACCCCCAGCTAATTTTTGTATTTTTAGTAGAGATGCGGTTTCACCATGTTGGCCAGGATGGTCTCAATAACTTAACCTGGTGATCCGCCTGCCTCGGCCTCCCAAAGTGCTAGGATTACAGGTATGAGCCACCATGCCCGGCCTCACAGTATTTTTAACTTAGAAATCAATCTAACTCATTGGTCTAATAAGATTCTTTGAGTCAGCATTTTTAAAACGTTTGAATAACAAAATACTAGGAATTGACATTTTAAGATAAAAATAAGCACTATTAATTTACTCAAGAGGTGGCGCAGGTGATCACTAATAAGAAAGCAGGCTCTGGAATCTGACAACTGCCTAAGTTGTAACACTGGCTCTAGCACTTACTAGCTGTGTGACCTTCAGAAAGTTACTTATTTGGGCCTCAGTTTCATCATTTATAAAATCAGGGCAATATTATTACCTACCAACCTTAGAAGGGTCTTTGGAGGATTAAATGAGGTAACAGACGTTAAGCGCTTAAAACATCACAGCACCCAGGCGGCATTCAATGACTACTTAATAAGCAATACTAAAATAACTGTATAGTGACAACAGTGAGTGCTTACAGAAATTTCTGTGAACTACCCAGTGTGACCAAATTTCTCTTAAACACTTTCACTTATATTCTTTTCCTTTCATTTTTATTTCTTTTTTGAGACAGAGCTCTTGACCAGGCTGGGGTGCAATGGCGCAATCTCGGCTCACTGAAACCTCTGCCTCCTGGGTTCAAGTGATTCTCCTGCTTCAGCCTCCCAAGTAGCTGGAATTACAGGTGCACGCCACCACGCCCGGCTAATTTTTGTACTTTTAGTAGAGACAGGGTTTCACCATGTTGGCCAGGCTAGTCTGGAACTCCTCACCTTAGGTGATCCGCCCACCTCAGCCTCCCAAAGTGCTGGGATTACAGGCCTGAGACGCCTTTCACTTTTTATTTCTCTATAATGATCAGCTATTGACAGGAGATATTCTGTGGCATCCAATGCTAGAAACTGCGTCCATTATACAAAGAGAACTACAAGAGAAATCATGACCAAAGACGTGACACCTAGAGTCTGGGGGAATGGCCTGGGAAAAGTAATGCTGTCATTTAGTCACTAGGGAATCACACACAGTCATGTGAGAACCTGAGTATTTCACAATCCAGAGAGCCGACTTGAGGGTTATGGGGCTACCAATTTAAATCAATAAAACATTATCTTTAGTAAAAAAAAAAAAAAAAAATCTGGGTAGTGGCTTTTACGACTTATTCATAAAATCAAGGTAAACAAACCATCGAATGGGTTTACCTAGAACTACAGAAGACCTAAGGCGATTATCTCTGCAGGTTCACAGGGAATTAGGGAATCAGCATTACCATCTGAAAGCAAAGAACTGATGGAACTGGGCGTCAGCAAAGACGGGGTGATAGAGGCAAGAAAGTTACCGCAGTCCCCAGTACACATCACTTGTATTACCTACGAGGCGATGCAGGGAGGCTTAAGAGAGGTTCAGCAGCAAATCTCTTTTCAGCCTTTAGCCTGGCTGATACGAGGCGCTAAAATATGGATTGGATGAAAATGTCTCAGTGCTCCAAGCAGAGCCAGCCAAGGGAACGAGCCTCACATCTCGTTTTTAGGGTGAGCAAATCTGGCCCTGGTTTCCTGCCCGGCTACCAGAACTGCACCCTAGCCCTTGGGTATTCACTGGTTGTTAGCGGCACAGCGTTCTGGGGCCGTGAAAGAGAGCGGGAAATTTCTTGTATTTACGAATCGCGACACCTGAACAGCTGAACGAGTGCGGTCCAGGGTGCAGCAGTTTCCGCGTGGCTTAAAGGAGGAGGGAAGCCGAGACCTCGCTGCTCCGCGTCCCCGCGGT